TACGTAATATATAATATTATTATATTAATAAATATATATATATATATATATATATTATATATATATATATATATATATATATATATATATATATATATATTATATATATATATATATATATATATATATATATATATATATATATATATACATATATATATATATATATATATATATATATATATATATATATATATATATATATATATATATATATATATATATATATATATATATATATATATTACGTTCGTTTTTGCTTTACGCAACAACTACAATAGACTAAAACAATTCCAGAGCCAAAAATTAAATGCAAGTATGTGATGATACCTATACGTTTATTGGATCACTATTAGGAATGAAGGAAATCAAATATTATATTTTTTATTATATTGTAAACAGTACATTGATTGACTGACTGAAGTGAAGATAAAAACATTTTGCTTACCGGATAATCCGGTGGATTGTCTCTAATTAACGTAATAAACGCGTCTTGTTTAAGGCATTTTGATTGGCAAAAAAAAATTTGCCAAAAATTTTTAAGTTTCCCGCCATTAAAATTTTTTACATTCGAGTAGGCGAGTCAAATATTAAACAAGTTTTACTTTTTTTTAAAACAATTGTTTTACTTTTCCCGTATTAATTTATTTTTTTATTTTTTTGAAAACAATTAACAATAAATTAAAACAATTTGGTGGAAGTTGAAAATACAGGGGCGGATTTAAGGTGTAAGCAATTGCTACAGTCAACGCAGTTTTATTTTTCATTATTATTTACATTATTACATATTTATATATTTTCTTTTCATGTGAAATAGTAGATTTATATAAACAAGATACGGGATTTAGTCTATTCGCGTCATAAATAGAAAGAAAAATAGGCTAGTGGTTTTTTGTTAAAAAACCACTTCCCTATTTTTCTAGCCCTTAACACAACATTATCAAATAAAATTAAACAAAATAGAACCAGAGCCGACGACACGGGTTTATAAGTTGGGGAGGGGGGCACAATCCTCAATTCTTAAAAAAAGTCTTTTTTATATCTAGAATTTTCTTAAAAAAAAAAAAGAAAAGTGAGGGTTATGTGCCCCCGGCCCCCCTAATATCGTCGGTCCTGAGAACTGTAAAAAACGTAATACAAAGACAAAATAATAAATGAATTTAAACATCAACTCCGTTGGGGGCACATCAACTTTGATGACGATGGATATTAAAGGTTTTATGAACTTGTAAGTCATAAAACCTTTAATAGTCCTTGGATTGCTAAAGACTTAAAAATATCTTCAAAAATAAAGAAAAAGTTGTATATAAAATATTTAAAGACTAAATCTTCTGCATTTGAAAAAATATAAAAAAATTTATTTGAAAAAATTCGTGAAAATCTGTATTAATATTATTAAACTAATATAATTAATAAGTTTAAAAACAATACAACGCGCTCCTGGCAAATAAGTGATCGTCCATAAAGTACGTACTCTCGGAGAGGAAGAGTATTTATACGTAAATTGCGTGTATGATATGGGGGGAAAGAAGGGCAGTAGGTCAATTATATAAGTATGGAGACACAAGTATGGAGACTTTTTTAGTGGTGGTTCACCACTAAAAAAAACTAAATTTTTATCAAAAGTTGGTTTTTGAGATTTTTTTTGTTTTATAGTAATTCAACATTGCTGAAAATGTTTCTGGATTCTGTTTTCATATATCTTGAGTATTTTTTGAAGTATTTTACTTTAATTAGACCTTATCAGATAACTTTACCATAGCAACGGCCCCTAGCAACGCAAACTTATCTTTATAATTGCCCTCTCTCTTTGCCTTGATTTAAGTTTTTTTGTTAGTTACGCATTAGTTTAGTAGGTTAGCATGGTTTGACAAAAGTTTAGAATGTAACAGTCTATGGAAGTTGCTATTTTTGTATGATTTATCTGAAGCCATCTTGTGATATTTTATTGTTGTATTTGAAAAGCTTTGTATTTTTCGTATTATTTAGTATAACTTATCAGTTTCATATTATATATTTTAAAATATTAGGATATTATATATAATGGGAAGCAAAAAAAAAAGAGTTTAAAAAGAAAAAGAGCATTTTGTGGCAACCAGTGGAACAAAACCCCTACCCTAAAAGAAGACGAAAATGTTGAGCATGTTTCAGTTAGTGCCAGCAAAGTCTCAAAGCTGATAGTTATATTGATTCAGAAAATTATAAAGTTATAATAAACTTCTCTATTTTAAAAAAAGTTATTGATAATATTGGCAGTTGCCCAGAATGTAACAGTTGTATTGTTTTTACAGATGACAACGATAAACGAAGTGGATTTTCTCACAAGTTGAATATTAAATGTACTAAATGTAAATTTCAGTATTGTACATATACATCTGATGATGTTAAAAAATCTGTACCTAAACAAGGCAGAAATTATTTCGATATTAACCTTAGAATGGTTATTGCTTTTCGTGAAATTGGGAAAGGACACCAAGCCTTAGTGGACTTTGCCCGAATTGCAAACACTTCATGTATGAATAACAACGCGTTTAACAAACTTAATAGCACTATTCAAAATGCATATAAATTATCAGCAGAACAATCCACAAAGGCAGCTGCAATAAAAGTTAAACATAAAGTTAAAGAGGAGCACATTGGTTCAGGAAAAAAACTAATTAGAGTTTCTTCAGATGGCTCATGGCAAAAACGCGGTCATGTTTCGCTAAATGGTGTGGTGACCACTATTTCAGAAGGGCGATGTATTGACTTTGAAGTCTTTTGCAAGTATTGTAGAATGTGGAAAATAAAGCAAAATCATCCAGGTTATACTGAATGGAAAGCTAATCATGTTTGCTCCTTAAATCACACTGCATCGTCAGGGGCTATGGAAAGTGCTGGTGTGGTAGAGATATTTAATCGTTCTGTAGAAAAAAAAGATTTGATTTATAAATATTATTTGGGAGATGGAGATTCCTCTGCATTTAATGATGTTCTTAGCAGTAATCCGTATGGAAAGTATCAAATCGAACCGAAAAAGTTAGAGTGTGTTGGTCATATCCAGAAGCGCATTGGTACAAGATTACGTAATCGAAGAAAAGATCGACATCATGGTAATCGGTTAACTGGAAAAGGAAAATTGACAGAATGCGCAGTTAATAGAATACAAAACTATTTTGGTATGGCTATTAGACAGGCTGCAGCTAATAATTCCTTAAGTGAAAATGAAAAGGTATACTAAATGAAAAAAAACATTCGCGCAGTTCTTTACCATTGCACTAATTTTCCTGATCAATTTCATCGCCACGTGTTATGTCCAGTGGGTCCTAATAGCTGGTGTAAATGGAAGAAAGGAAACTCTTCAGGTAACAGCATTTACATAGCAAAAGTTAATTTACCAGTATGGATATATGATATCATTAAGAAAGAGTTTGAAGATTTAAGTGATGACAACCTTTTGAAAAAATGCACTCATGGTCAAACACAAAATTCTAATGAGAGTCTTAATAGTATTATATGGTTTAGATGCCCAAAAAATATTTTTATTCACAAAGCTTCATTTGAGTTGGGAGTGAACTCAGCTGTATTGTATTTTAATGGAACTTTTTGGTGTTCAGAGAGTGATGAGTCACCTCAATCTTGAGAATGGTGTAAAATTTGCAGTGTCCTCATTTTGTAGAAACCAAAAACGCGTTGCCAGCATAAATAAAAAAGACACTTTTGAAAAAAAAAGTAGAAGGATACATTTAAAATCAATTAACAAGGGTTGGCAAGATGAAGAAGAATAACTGGAAACCTTTAAACCTAACTGGAAACCTTTACTCATCTGGAAGTTTTTGATATTTTTATTAGTTATAAAATGGTTATTGTTGTTTTTCTTCATTCACTTTTTTGTGCAACTTTTAATTTTTGAAATATCATAACTTTTAAATGACTAAAGCTTTTTGCTTCAAATTTTCATGACATGTTCTACGTGTAATGATGGAGGGCCTGAATCAAAAATATGTTGGATTTGATAAATTATTTACATTTTTCAATTTCATTTAATTAGCCAACCCCCCAAATTTTAATGTTTTTGCCAAAAAAAATCAAAAATTTCAACTTTTACTAAGAATATAGCAGTGATTTTGGTTCAGGCCCTTCATTTTATGTGCATCAAGCTGTTTGCAAAATATAAAGACCTAATTTCAAATGGTTTCCAAGTTATCGTTTTTCAAAATTTTGTTCAAATTTGACTGATTTTGCAATCTTTTTGACATATTTTCGCAATTTTAGGAATAAATTGTTGTAAAATGACACTTATTTTGTTTTTTATTTTCATATATTATGCTTTTATACACTTTTTAATTTGAAGTTATGAAATTTGGGGATTTTTTTTTTTTTTAGTGGTGAACCACCTTAACCTAAAACTGCTAAGTTGACGGGATTACGGGATTACTAAAGTCATAAATAAAAAATGTTCCAAAATTTACTTGAAAAGTTCTAAAATTTACTTGAGGAAACTAAATACTTTTTAAATATTATTTGCTCAACTAAAACTTGCGCTACCTCAAACGACATTAACAAAAATTCTATTTTTTATCTTTCTCATTTTGAAATGATTTCTCTTGAAAGGCAAATAAATTAGCGCGGTCGTGGAGTTCTAATTTACGTTAATGAAAATATTAGGCGTTGTTGTAGAAATAATCTTTGAATTTCTGACGGCAATGGAGAAATATTAAAAAGAAAGATTATTAATGAATGTACAAAAAATATTTTAATTAGCTGTTGTTATCGACCGCAATATAGCGTGGAGCATATTTTTACAGCAAAAATTAATTGCAAAAGGTAAAAACGAAAAGAAAAAAAACTTTCTAGTTGGTGTTTTGACTACAATGACGATAATAAAGTTAGAAATTTTTATGATGCAATTTTTGAATCTGGAGCAATTCCTTTAATAAATCTTCCAACAAGAATAATAAAAAATTTAGTAACTTTGCTGGATAATATTATCTCCACAGATTTGTTCAACAGTGATATAAAATTGGGCATCTTAAAAACAGATATTTCAGACCACTTTCCTATTTTTCTAACCATAAACACTGACCAACCGCCTAAACAAAAATTAAATAAAGTTATAAAAAAACGTTTTTTTAAACCATCAAATATTGAGTCTTTCAAAAATCTCATTATTACATTGGAAATTGGCTCTCATTATTACATTGGAAACACTTAAATTTTAATGAAAACCAAACAACCTTTATGAAAAGTTTTTTGAAACATTCTCCTCTGTTTACGAATCTAATTTCCCAATTGTTACAATTACATTAAAAACAAAACACTTTAATAATCCCTGGATTACCAAAGGATTCAAAAAATCATCCAAAACTAAACAAAAATATCTGAAAACAAAAACACCAGCTAGCGAAAAAATTTACAAAGATTACAAAAATCTTTTCGAAAACTTACTATTCAAAAGTAATTAACAAAGTTAAAAATGACTCAAAAAGCACTTGGCAAGTATTGAAAGAAATTACTGAA